GGACCATTTAAAGCCACACATAGTGCATAAAACTGAAAAACATGACAAGGTTCAAAATTGTTTGAGAGGGGTCTTTATACATCATATCACCTTTTGCAAACGACATTTTGCACATTTCTATTGGAAAATGGGTAATTTCAGATGTTGAAGGAGGTAACACATGTTTTTAAAATTCACATCACAACTGTCATAAACAATTAGGGCTCAAAATCCTGTGTGGCCACCATTTGCAAGAAAACAGTCATTGCATCTTTGTCTTATGGACTGAATAAGAGTTCGCAATGACAGTTGTGGAATGGCCTTCCATTCTTGGTCCAAAATGTTAAAGAGTTCCTCCACATTGTTGGGGGGTGGCTGATGGTCTCTTACTCGGCGCCCAAGAGCATCCCACAAGTGTTCAATGGGACTAAGGTCCGGTGATCGGGCTGGCCAGTCAAGCCTGATCACGTGCTGCTGCTGCAGGAAATCATCCACCACTCGAGTGCGGTGAGGTCTGGCGGTCGTCCTGGAGTATCGCGCCCTGGTCCATTGCCCGAAGAGCTAGAATTGCAATGGGGCGGAGAATCTCGTCCCTGTAGCGGATACCTGTCAGAGTGCCTTGAATGTGATGCAGGGGGGTCCGGTGGTTGAGTCCAGTCCCACCCCACACCACAACGGAGCCTCCTCCATACCGGTCATGCTCCTGTACACAGTCGTCATGGAAGCGCTCACCAGGACGCCTCCAAACACGATCCTGCCATCGTTGAAGGACAATGTGAACCTGGACTCATCCGTGAAGAGCACAGTAGACCACTGCGGGCGTGTCCACCTCAGATGCTGGGTGAACCAAGTTCTGCGCGCAATCCGGTTGGCTTATGTCAGTGGAACCCGGACTGCGGGTCGTCTGGAGCGTAGACCAATCTCATGCAGCCGGTTTCTAATGGTCTGGTCACTAGGGTTGGGTCGGGCTCGCAAAATTAGCGTCCGTGAGTAATGAACTACTCGCTGGCACTACCCGCAAACGAGCAGACGGGTAACGAACCGTCCGCTTGTGAAGATTAGTTCGCTACTCGCTACACATCAGACAGAGACAACAGCAAAGATAGTACAGCCTACAGCGAGCGGACGGAGAGACACCATGCATTCGAGCGGGCGGACGGACGGGGAGCGACTCCTTCTATTGCATACTATTTACAGCGCCCACCCCAATAATAAAATTAAAAATTTAAAAATTACCCTCCTGCCCCACATTGTAGCTTGGCGTTCATGACAGAAATTTCTCTACCCAGAGTCCAGACCGCCTTCGCTAAACAGCAGTTCCAGTTGCAGCAACTCGGTCTCTCAGTCTGATGATCACTGAGTGACTCCCAGCAAGCCGTCTTTCCACTTCACGGACAGCAATCCCTTTGTGGAGCCAGGCTAGGGCTCGTCCCCTGTTGATGTTGCTCAGGCGTCTTCTTGGAGGCATTGATAAAAATCGCTTAATGTGCCAGCAATTAATACCCCTAGCACCGTCAAACTCACTCAGGCATTAGTGTAGGAAGCGTGAATTCCCCTGAGTTGGTTTGTAACCCTTACCACTAACTGAAAATCACGTGAGTGATTGTCAAAAACAGGTTGAATTTTACAGAAAATTATCCCCCTTTCACCCTGTCAAGGCAGTGTAAATTAAACGAGATGTGTCAAATTTGTCCATCATTGTAAACAATGATGACCCTTCCTTACAATGGCATCAACTCAGTCACCTAACTTCTCAATATTTGTCTTTCACACAGTCTCAAACATGCTATAGTGAAAACTAGTGGTCCTTAACTTGTTTTGAGTAGTATATATAGTCATTACCATGATCTGGCATTAGAGCAATTTTGTTTTCAGTCTTATGGCTCATCAGCAACACTGTCTTACTTTCACACTGAACAAGGAGCACAACTATCCATTTTTCTATCCTTTTATCAATATGGAGATACTTTGATCATGGCAAAGAAGAGAAAACATCACGGTTACCTCTCTTGATTTTTTCAATTCAATATAGTATTTCATTTTTATTATATCTCTCTTAATTTTTTATATAAATATAATCAGAGTTTTCTCAAATCACAGGTAAGGCAAACACATTTTTCAACGTCTGACGTATTTGAGATGTCTATGTTCAACTCCCTGTCTTTAGACACATTTTCATTCAAATCCAATGTACTTGTACATCTCTTAAAAAGAAAAGAATTTCTCCATACCTTTCTCTTCAGGAAGTCGAATTTTCTTTGACACTCAAAGTTCTGACAGTGGGTGCACTGAAAAAAACAACAACAACACATCCTTTTCATTTCAGTCTTAATACATTACTTACAAAAAAATCAATCTCTAGGTGAAAACAAAAATACATCAAAACTGCTCTCTACTTTGAAGCAAATTTATCAGTTACTCCTTGTGTGATACAATACAGAAAAAGAGAGGAACACAATATAATAGCTATTAATTACACAATTACCAGCCCTTATTGTCATAGCTCTGTCATTTTCTTTTTTAAAAACTTACAACAAAATTCTTTTATGCTCAAGAAGAACAATCCCTTTTACTTTTAACTTTCAATCAGCATGTCAATAGAAGAAATGTGTTGTGGCAAAAGACAAATTGAAGTCTATCAGCTAGTAGAAAAAAAGCTGCAGGTTTATTTCCAGTCTTGTCCCATAGGCCTATTATTGACTAAATAATTGACTTATTTGTGATTTTATTAATTCATTATTATTTATGGAAACAGCTAGCCGTACTTAATGATGGCTAGACTGCTACGCCAGCCGCTAGCCTTACGGCTAGACTGGCAGGCTAGCCGCACCTAATGATGGCTAGACGGCTGGGCAAGCGGTACTTAACCTTTTGAACCCGCAACACCGGTATACTGGTGCAGGCCTATTTTCCTATATACCGCTACACCGGTTTAGCGGTGTGAGCCCTACCTCGGGCCACATAGTTCGACCATTCTTTGTTCTTTATTTTATTAACGTGCTTTGAACGACCTGGGCTACTGCTTGGGATCATGGTAAACCAAATGGCAGCTTCCTCTATGTTTTGAATTTTGGTTTTGTGAGCGGGATTTGTGTACTTTCATTGTGTTTTGTGTGGAAGGTGACAAAATGAAACGATCAGCGGGTCAGGCAAACTGTTCGGGCGATCAGCCAAGTTGTTCAAGCAACAACAAAAGACGCTTTACGGGTCAGTTTGTGGCTGATAATTTGTTGGAATCGGATGAAGACGAAACACACAGTTACCCAGATAGTGAGCTCAGTGATGTTACAACTACAGATGACGAAAGTGATAGTGAAGGAATTTCGCAAACACTAAATCTAACTGCTAGACCTAGGCCTTCAACCAACACTCGCAGAGTTCCAGCTGCTGGTGGTAGATCTAACACAGCATCAGTGTTTGGTCCTGAAAACCTAGACTTATCTAGTGGGTGGTCAAAAACATTTCAGAAGCCAAATGTGAGGTTCGATAGTACTGGTTGTGGTCCTCAGAATATGCCACAAACTATCACTGATGAAAGCAAGCCTATCGAGTTTGTGGATATGTTTTTTCGACAATGTGTTTTGGGAGAATCTACGTGATGAAACAAACAGAAGAGCCACTCAAATTCAACGTTTGAAACCAGATTCATACTACGCAAAGAGATGGAAAGCTACATCTGTTGCGGAGATAAAGGCCTTTGTTGCTCTGAGAATTCAGATGGAGTACAGTGCAGTGAAACCAAGATATGCAGACTACTGGGAGAGTAGTGCAAAAAACTTTATTGTACGCACCCCAGGGTTCCGACACGTAATGGCACGGGACAGATTCCTTTCAATTTGGACCTTTCTACATATTGTAGATGAGGAAGAACCTGGTCTATATAAGACAGACAAGATTTATAAAGTGAGACCAATGATGACAGGCCTGCTTGAAAAGTTCAGACACCATTATAAACCCAAAAGGTGGTTGAGCCTCGACGAAGGTATGATACCGACAAAGAACAGGTTGTCGATAAAGCAATACATCAAAGACAAGCCAGTCAAGTTTGGGATGAAGTCTTTCATGCTCACTGAGGCTGATACTGGCTATATTATAAAAGCCAAAATCTACACCGGCAAAGAAACACTCTTGAACCCAGTTCTTGGTGCTACAGGTAATAACTACAAATAGGATTACGCAACATTACATTTTGTTTTGGTCAAATTGAATAGGCTTACAAGATACTGTATGAATTATAAAATAAAATGTAGTTTACCCAGTTATTTTCAAAACTTTTTTCCTCATTTTTTTTCTCATAACAGTGAGTTTTCTGATAGTTATTCTTTCTTTTTTTTCCACGGTCATTTCCGGAAAATATAAGGTTTAGTGAGACAAAAACACTGCTGCTTGAAAAATATACTAGATCTAGGTTTTCTGATTTCGCTTCTAAAATGCAAGAATTTCTTTAGTATTCACCTCTGGATCTAGCTAAATTATTTTCATGCTTCAAAAATGCAAAAATGTGCTTTAGTATTAGATCTAGATCTACCTGTAAATTATTTTCCTTTTGTGATGTAGGTAATGTGGTGAAGCGCCTTGTGACTGCGGGTGTCTGTTCCGACAAAGGACTTGTTGTCGCTATGGATCGGTTCTATACCTCTGTGACACTTGTTGAACACTTGTATAGATGCATGAACACATATGCTGTTGGCACTACACTAACAAACAGAAAATTCTACGCAAAAAGACTGTCTGGAAAGAAGAAATTTCCTAACAGAGGAGACTTTGATTTCGAGTGTCGCTAAAACATTTCATGCGTTGTGTGGCAAGATAACAAACCGGTACATTTTATTTCGAGCATGCATGATCCTGCAGAAGTGCAGACTGTAAACCGCCGCAAGAGAGACGGCTCGCTGGATGTAGTTCCTGTACCAAAACTGGTCAAAGACTACAACAACTTCATGGGAGGCTGCGATAAGAACGACCAAGTTGTTCGCCTCAACAGAGCTCGTCGGCATTATCGGTGGCCCCGAAGACTATTCATAAAAATTTGGGGGGGGGGGCTGCTACAATGCATTTGTTTTGTCTACCAAATTCAGACCAGCCAACACTCCAGCCAAGATGAAAACCTTCAAGCACTTCCTGGACCAAATGTGCCTGTCTCTCGTAGGGACGTACAGCTCAAGCAGTGTTCACCGCTAACCCTTTCAAACAAATAAAAACCACCATGCGCTGTGGATATTGCGAGCGTTGGTTGTGTGTGAAGAGGGGGTCAACATGCTGGCAAGACTGGCATACCAAAGCAGACTACACAATCTAAATGTGAGTAAAATTAGAGTATAGTGGTTGTACTTTTTGAAAATATACCTGTTGTCCTACTTTTTTTTATAGTTTTGTACCTTTCATTGCATGCTATATATCCCTGAAATTCAGGGAATTTTCGAGAAAAAAAACTTAGGGATAGTGATTTGGGAAATCTGAAGGCCTTGGGTTCAAAGGGTTAATAATGATGGCTAGACTGACACACCTTACACACACACACACATGCGTGCGCGCACGCACAGGCCTCTCCATTCGCAAATATAAGCAACAAATCTCGAGAACGGAAACCGTTCGGAGAAATAGAGCTCCAGTTTATTTTCCCGAGCCTTCGGAGAAATAGAGCCGGCCCTCATTATATAATCTCCATATAAATGTCAGGAGATGATTTCTCATTTGAACAGTTGAGACATGATATGGAATTGATCATGTACTTCCTTCAGTAATATAATGAACAGTAGTCCTAATGAGTAATGTAATGCTACGAAACTGAGACTGATGAGGAAGTCAAAAATGCATTGATCTACTTTAACCCTGGAAGCATGCAGGCCCTATAAAGGGAATAGACGCTGACCTTTTTCAAAGGAAAATTCCAGTATTCCTTATATATAATGGAAAATGACGTATTAAATTACAGGTCAAAGTTATTCATAGTGATCAATGACAGCAAGTTATCTTGACCTCATAGAGCGTCTCTTGGCCCAGATATCGATCAATAAACTGATGCGGTAGAGCTGAGCAACTACATGCTATGTGTCATCACTAGTTTCGCCGTGCTGATAACCAATTGTTGAGTTTATCGCGTTTTGCGCTTTCTTTGTATTTATTTGATCTCTTATCATTTTAGAATGGCTCATTCTATCAGCTTTAATAAAATATACAGTTTAATATATATGCCTTTTTTATCAAACGTTGAGCCGTAAATGGTCATTTTTCAGTAGCAGGTACATCTCAGGGATCTCAGCTTGTGATTTCTTTTCTCTAGTTCTCGCCTCTTTGATAACCTCGGTCTTCTTTTTCTTTATTTTGTTCCGACAAATTTCACTGTGAAGTGTTTTTTCCTGCCTTTTCTCATTTCTCCTGACGCGTCCCTATCCGCCTTCAATAATTAATTAAGTAAAGACGTGATCTCACCTTTTTCAAAACATATTCTTCTTCTTCTGAATATTTTCAAGAAAGTGGCGAATGGGGCCAGATTCTTCCTCTCCACTTTGAGATTTTCTCCACTGATCTCGGTCAGTCTTTTTAAAAATACAATAATTTACTTTACCGGTGTTTTGACCGAGTATCGCCTCTCCCACTGAAATTCTTATTTGGACTGTATTTGAGTAGGAAAATCTGGGATGTGGCTCGAAAAATCAGCCACTTATATTAATCCGCTAACAACATCAGTGAAGTGTGTTCGCCGCTTCCTTGGGGCTGGTAAACTTTTCGGTATTGGATCTAAGTTGGTATTGATTATCTTAGTCGTTATAAAAAACTGAAAATTATTCATTTACAGTTCATGTATAAATTTGAGCTGAACTTTAGCCCTAAACACGTCTTATGACACCATCCATGGTACCAAATATATCTATAACTACATGTATTTAATTTCAGTATATTATACTATTTAAAGAGAGTCAGGTATCCAAAATTGTTATATGACTTTTCTGAACTTTTGAATTCAGGTTATAAAGCAATCTGAAGTATGTTTTAAAAAACTTGTCCACATTTGAGGGATACAACGTTCAGAGCAAAATTAAAAATTCATTTAAAGACATTCCTTTGGAAAAAGTTGTTTTGATAATCTATTTCGACCCTAGCTCCACAATGCCCATCTCACAAGTATGTATATATATATATATACATTCCCTCGGAAAAAAGTAACTGTCCATAGATTTCAAGCCTAATTTTGAAAAGGTCTGTAGTAGTAGTAGTAGTAGAAGTAGTAGTAGTAGTAGTAGTAGTAGTAGTAGTAGTAGTAGTAGTAGTAGTAGTAGTAGTAGCA